CTTTCAATGAAATCAATTTGATTACTGATTTTGCATTCATAATGTTTAACTGAATACGGGCCTAGAGTAAATGGTTACCATTCATGTTTCTCAAGCTGAAAGACTTAGGCTCCAATCTCACCGCGGGCAAGTCACGAATGACCTAAAATGTGTTAAACAAATCAGATAAACGATAATCATTAGTTCAACGACAGATGAATTTCAATTAAATTTTAAACAAGACGTAAACAGCAGAACTTCAAGTTAAGTTGCTTTCATTTAAAACGTCTTGACTGCATAATGAAAGCACAATATGATATCACACTTATGTCGCAACATTTGAAATCAAAATGAGTTTTCATTATGATAGGAACTGCACACTTTAATATCGATTTGCTTTCATTTTGTTAACCGACTTTGCTCGGGTAGCTACCACCAGATGACTATGACAATGCAAGAACATTTGTTTTCGATAATGGAAGTCACAACAGACGTAATTGCTATTAGATATGTTTGCAGACAGTGACAGATGGTGGACATGAAGATCCAGTGGAGGTGCCAAGCGAAGGTATTATATGCTAGACAAATGGTAAGTTCCAAGTTCGTTGTTGTCGTCACGGTAGTCACCGTTGGCAGTACCATTCTTATATTTAAAATTAACCATCAACCGTATAAATTATATGAATTATCGCGCATCTCTGTTGTTCATTACATACACGGAGAAAAAATACTACCCAAAATTTGAGTTCTTTTTACTTAGTATTGACTTCAGCCTCTCACTTGCACTCGTTATTGTTGTCAAAAAAGGAACGAGAGATTCGACCCAACGATATAGTTCAGCCCAATAAGTTACTTTTGAGTAAATTGCATATTCTCAAATTTACGTGAATTAAACTTAATTTTGGGTAGAATATACATAAGAGTAGGTAATTTTTTTTTGCTGGTGTTAAATGGAAACTACTATATGCGATTTACTCAAAATTGGGTTATTGGGCTGAACCCCGGAATTGAGGGAAAAGTACTTAATTTTGGGTAATTTTTCATCTCCGTGTAGCAGAAACTTAATCATATTTTGTCGTTGAGTGTTGAGGTTTTGAGATGCTCGATTACCCTGAATGGGTCGTTTTTGATTACTGAGCAGAAAATTATAGGTAGTCTTATATTCATATAAACTTATTAATTCATTGGGTAGGGATGGATCCATCCATCCTGATTGAAGCGATTTCTATGGGGAGAGTGGAATTGCCAACTCCCTGTTGTTAACATTTCGTGAATTGAAGGTGGGCTCATCTCCCCACTCATTGGGGCATCCCCTCGTATGATGATTTGTTCTATATCGGGTTAGAACATTTTTATCATTGGAAGGAGATTTTTCTTGCTCCCGTGGATCATGCGTAAGTGTCTCTGCTTACGGGTCCTCCCTCCGTTTTTGGCCCTTCGTATGGTAAGTTGAATACAAACAGGTATCGTACTTGATGATGAGGTCATACGAGGTGGACAGTTTACTGTCTGATGGCTGTGCCCTACAACAATGAGTGATATTATTTACATACATACATACAATACGTCGAAGACTAAGTAACTGTTGACTGGAGTAAAGGGTGCCCCACATCAAATTGCATCACAAAAAAAAAACGCTGTAGAAAATTATCCATTTGCTATTTTCTCTTGAAAATTTGGGTAGAAGTAATTTATAGTGTATTGTTAACACTGTATTTTTATCGCTGTCAGGTTTTCGAAACATGGGAAAAATTGCGTCACTTTAAAAGCAACGTCGCGAATTGATTTTGCACAAGCACTTGGAAAATCATCAACTCTCTCATCGGGACATCGGAAAACAACTCGTGCAGTCAACAGTGAGTCGTGTGATTAAATATTACTACGAAACTCTGAGCATCGAACGGAAGGGGAAATGCGGTCAGAATGGATGTTCTATTAGTGATCAGGATCACAAGCGTGTCGTGAAAGCGTTTAAGCGGAATCCCAATGCTTCGTTCAGGGATGTGGCCAAAAAGTTCAAATGTTTCGTTCAGAGAGCCAAGGACCGGGAGGGACTGCATACGTACAAAAAACAGAAGGCTCCAAATCGTGACGAACGGCAAAACACGGTGGGAAAGTCACGGGGGCCCGGAAACTGTACACCCAGATGCTGACGAAGCCTCATTGTCTTGATGAGACTTACGTCAAGTCGGACTTCCGGCAGCTTCCGGGGCTACTGTTCTTCACCGCCCAGCACAAGTTTGATGTTCCGGAGGAAGTAAGGAATCTGCTCATGTGGCAAACGGAGTGCGCTGTTTGTGACTACCGGGACTGTAAACGGAGAGATCTACCTCAAGGAGTGTCTACAGAAGCATCTGCTTGCTCTGTTGAAGCAACACGAGGGCTTTACGATTTTCTGGCGGGTTTAGCGTCGTGTCACTATTCAAATGTTGTCCTGGAGTGGTACGAAAGGACATGAACCCCCCAACGCACTAACTAAGGCCCATCGAAAAATACTGGGCTATTATGAAGCAGACACTACGGAAGCTTCCCAAGGAGGTCAAATCTGAGGAAGACAGGAAGAAAAAGTGGGTTTCCGTACAGAAGAAGCTGCAGCCAGATGTTGTACAGAACCTAATGAGTGGAGTTAAGCGTAAGGTGCGAGCGTACGGTTAGATGAATGAAATAAATATGCCAAAAGCTTACTAATGGGTTATACTTTATTGTCTGAAAGTTTGAAAGGATCGGTCAAGGGGGAGAGGTAGCTCATCGATTCTTCCGGTTCGCCTCCTAGCATCTTGCTATAAGGTACCAGGCGATAACCAGGGTAGTTGATCGATAGCTCGATGACGTCATTTCGTTGGCGTCTGCAATGGGAAATTCTCATAGCAGGCGTTGACGATGGGACGTTGTCGAGTTGTTGAATAGCAACTATCGTGGTAACTCACCGATTACCTGTCGATCTGCCAAATTTGGAAAGACGTCTGCATTGAATTGTCTCATATAATAATATTCCGCCCACTATATCACAAGAAATTGCGAGTAGCTGAGTGGAATGGAGATAAGTTAAGCATTGGGTACAGGACCAAGTCTCCCCTGGGTGGTGCCAAAAGATGAGCGCAATAGAATCATCAAGTTGCCATAAGGCACGGAATGAGACTATTGCATGGCTGGGTAGTCAAAGTCTTCCATTCGTTAGTCATTTCAGGTGGATTAGGTGGGCATTGGCCAGATTTGGATTTTTCAGATGTAATCCTGGATAGGACCCTGTCATTGAACGTCGCGTGAAAGTGGAACTTAATGAAGGCCTAAGTACTTTTTCGTAGTTTTTAGTTTTCGGATTTGAAAGATCGTCGGTTACAGTGGCCTGCTTACTGAGCAGAAAAACGCGGTCCCAGGTCCTTACATATCAAAGAGATTTATGGTAAAATCGCTTGTGTATCGTGTATTTTGCGAAACTCGTTGTTGTCGTTGGTTCCGGGTTTGAATGGATACACAAATTTGAGCAACGGTATTATGTGATATGAGCGGCTCGGTGGCCTTAGAGCAACCGTTTTTGCTTACTGAGCAGAAAATCATGAGTCTAATCTCAGGCCCATCCACATTCAAGATTCGTCAATCGTTTTATTTGTTAATATGACTACATGGTAAACAGCCACTCGGTGATTAAAAAGGTGCTCGTCTGCCTAGTGGCAAACGTTTTTGCTTACTGAGCAGAAGACCGTGGGTTTAGTCCCAAGCTCCTTCGCGTTATATGATCGTTAGGACATCAATTCAGCTTATCGATTACCACAACCAACCCTGCTGCAAACCCAACCCTCTTATCCAACATCCCAGTGATTCCTCGTGGAAGTGCAGAGGTGTTCTCGGCTTCAATCAAAGCGAGTGTCATGTCAACACAATCCTTCCCATTCCTTTCTTGACCTGTGTTCGGGCGCGGCCGGCGCTGGTATTGCCTAATTTAAGATCACCAGTTTTTACACATTGAGGATGATTGCTAGTCCCAAGCATCGTCTATTGGTTCTCTGTGTAATTACAGCTGATATGGCAGTAACAGAGTAGCAACCGTGGGCGGTCAATCAAGCTCAAGCTCAAGCTCAAAGTTTGAAAGGATCGGTCAACTAGGTAAATTTCTACAGCGTTTCTTCTGTGATGCAATTTGATGTGGGACACCCTTTAGCCGAGCGTGATAGAGCTCGCATTGGCAGAAGTGGATGAATTTGTGTACCTCGGTGACGTCGGATAGCAACTGCAGCAGACACATTCGGATACATATTATTGACGGAAGTTGTGCTTACTACGGACTCTACAAGACCCTGCGATCTGGTAAACTTTACTCCATATTAAGAATACCATGTAAAAGACGCTGAAGACCTGCAGTTCTCTACGGGCACGAGTCGTGGACAATGCTCGAGAAGGACCTGCAAGAACTTTCCGCACACACGACTTTTCAAACGAAGTGTGCTTAGGATCATCTTTGGCGAACATGCCGAACTGGCACACCCAGTATATTGAAAGAAGCTATAGCTGGAAGGGTATAAGGAGCGAGGGCTTTTTGACGTTTAAGCGTTGAACAATAAACAAAACAATCTAAAAGAAATTCTGTTTTTTGATTTAGTTTATTTTCCCAATCATGCTGCACATCAATAAGTTTTTTTTTCTGTGAGTGTGTAAGTTAAACGGTTTTTGTTGCCTATATCAGAGATCTGACAATCTATCTGCACCTTTCTACACTATTTTAAATATCATAATATCCGAAGTCGTGAGGATAAAATGACTTCTACAATTATCCAGATTTCAAAGTTTAGAAGTTAATCATTTAATAATCATTTTAAAAGATCTTATCGAACACTAGCTCCCGCGAAGTAATACTTGAATATGCGATCGGTTTTAACTAATCTAGATGCAAGCATCTTTTTGTTTTATTGATTTAGTAACATTTTGTCCAATTCATCGGTACCAAATCGGGAGTAAATGCTCTTCGAGGTAGGGTGTGTTATGTTTTCTCTTAAATTTTCATTTCTCTTCTTACACAACAGAGATTAACTTTTATGTCATAAAATAAACGAAAGATTTATTCTCATTTGTAACGTTTTCCGATTTATGTTTTGTAATACTTTCTATCATAGTTTACATAAGTGGTTGCATTCCTCTTTATTTTAAATGAGAGCGGGCAGAGAACATCAAAGACTTAGGCGTGCATGCTTATCAAGCTAAAGAGTGAGCTAGTCAATGGCTGCTTGTTGGTTTTTCTTGCTTCACATTGTTTCCTAATTTTACTAGAATTGTTATAAATAGTTAAATGCTATGTTTGATTTAAAACTTAATTCCGGCCTGAACTTCAGCCATGATGCGAGCCGATTCCTGAAGTTTTTTCATTTCGGCTTCAGTCAGGATCTGCTTAATGACGTGCGATACACCATTTCTGCCTAGGACGCATGGCAGAGACAAGTAAACCTCGTCGTTGATTCCTTGTTCGCCCTGTTGAAAAGAACATCATTATTTAAGGTGAACTATGGATTTCGGGTTCAAGGATAACTTACGTTAACCAAAGTGGAAACGGCATGCACGTTGTAAGTATTTCTGAGCAGAGCCGAAGCGAGTGATGCCACGCTAAGGCCGATGGCCCAGGAAGTGTATCCCTTCAGTCTGATGACTTCGTAAGCGCTGTTAACGACTTCGTAGTGCAGATCACTCCACTTCTCTTCATCGTCGACAGTGCCGATGGCTGGGTTGAGTTCCGACAGGCGGACGCCAGCTACGTTGACACCGGACCACACTGGCACAGAGCTGTCACCGTGCTCACCGACGATCCAACCGTGGCACGAGGTTGGGGCAACTCCCAACCGCTGGGACATCAGGAAGCGGAAGCGGGACGAATCGAGATTGGTACCGGAGCCGATAACACGGTTCTTGGGAAGTCCGGAGATCTTCCATGCCACATAGGTTAGGATGTCGACCGGGTTGGAGACGACTAGCAGGATACAGTCGGGGCTATGCTCGACCAGCTTGGGAATTATTCCCTTCAGAATGTCACAGTTGCGCTGGACTAGGTTCAGACGGCTTTCGCCTTCCTTCTGGCGGACGCCGGCGGTGATGACGATCAGTCGGGATCCGGCCGAAACGGCGAAATCTGAAGGGAGCAGAAGAAGACGACACGGGTGAGTGAGTTACGAAGATGATGGTCAACATCTAATAAATGTAATAATTTGACAACAAACTTCTTATGTTGTATATGTAACCTTCAAACTAAATTTTCATATTTTCAAACGATTTTTAACATGCTTAAATATCTTTGATTCGAATGTAATAATGCCGCAACCACACTTTTGTTACACACCGTAGGCTACTATTTCACATTATGACAAACAGATGGCGCGACACAGCCTTTGTAGTGCAACAGTGTGTCGCGTGACAAGCATTGATGGATTATGCCACACTACACACACGGAGCCTGCGTTGATGCAAAGCAATATAACTCATTGATTTCCATGAAATGAATGAACATGATTACTATTTTAAAGAAAAATGTGTCGGCAGATTAGTGTGGTCAATGTTGGTGTTATTTTTTTCGCGAAATACTCTAGAATTACGCTCGCATCACGAATGTTCGATTCTGCTTATCGTAATTTGTCTAATGTGCCATTAACTTGCAATCAGCCCGTTGCGCTGTTTCGGATTGATCGCGTGAATGTTATTTAGCTTATCATTGTATGTCGTTGGAGAGTGTTATATACTGTTTTACGGTACCGTAAAACGGGGTGAAGTTGATCATGAAAGTGAAGTTGATCACTACACGGTTCAATTTTCGTTTCTCAACAATTTGTTTAATGATAGTGTTGTTGAAATAATGTGTTCAGTGTTTTATTGAGCAGTTCAATACATCTCTTTTAAACGATTTCCCTAAGAACCAGTTACAATTTTGTTAAAGTGATAAATATTTTTACTGCTTCACCAAATCTGATCATAATTAGCATTTATTCTGGTGCTGTGTCCGATGAAATCACTTATTTTACTTGAATTTGAGTCGCTGAATCTGAATCTGCAATTATATATTGTTTATGTATCAACAATTTAGTGTCATCAAAATGATTTTATGAAAAAAAAACTTTTATTAACTGAATTACGATATTGCAAAAAATTGTAGAAAATTGCAATCGCAATGAACATGCAAAACATTCAGAATTTTGTTTGCCTATGCAAGATATAAATTCACCGCGATCAGTAATTTGATCTAGTAACAATGAAAACAATTCCTGTACATTTTTCAGAATGTATTATAAAATTTATAATTCTTTATAGAAATTTCATTCGCCTAAAGTGCGTAGCAAGCCTGTATTGCGCTGTATACTTATTCTAGCCTAATGAAAACAAAACCGAAACCACCATTCGGTTAGAACATTGACACATTGTCCGGCGTTTTTCGGGACGGGTCACGACTGGTGACCTATTTTTGGCGGTTGGCTGTGCTCGCTTCTCCGGTTTAACTGAATTGAAGGTCAATGTACGATTGCATAGTTGGTTGTGCTGTTGGTTGGACGCGGTTACGCACGGTGACTATAAATATGATTGTCATGCCGCATATTCAAGTGTTTTCAGAATCATCTGTGGTACATCCAATCTGATTGGATGTGGCCTTGAAAGTTAATTCAATTAAGGACTCCGAGGCAACGAACGGCACTATTGATAAGTGCTCATCCATAAATTACATCACTCAGCTAGAGTCGGTGTATAATGAGTCACGCCAAGAGTGAAGCCAAGTCTACCTATTGAACTGTCAAACCGGCTACCTATCGTACAAAATAAATAAACATTACGATGCTATGAAAGGTCCACGAAAGGTATTGCAATAAAATATAAAATATAATCGAAGAAATGAGCATAAACACGCAGTGAGCGTTAAATTGTCATGGGATACGCTCGGTAATGATTAGTAATAAGAATTTCTACTATTTTTTGTTAAGATAATTTGACAAAATCACTGATATAATGATTTACTACAGCCGCAATATTTTTTCTCTCGCTAGAAGTAATTTGAAGTTGTTGTAGAAGTCCTCTGTTGCCAAGTGAAAAGAATGGGAATCTTCCGAAAACCGTGATGCGAGTTCAACTGTTTTTCTCTTGGCGTGACTCATTATACACCGACTCTACACTCAGCTTGCTTCTCGAAAATCGAGTCTAGCGTTCAGAATCATGAGGGCCTAACTGTGATGATCGATTCTCTTTATCGATTTTCTCTTTTGTCATAACTCAGCTGGCTTATCATTTCCCGGTGCGTTTGATGTTGTTTTTGTTAGGTTTCACTATACTGTATTGTGCTACGTTCGGATAATTGGTGCACTGAACTATAGTAATGCGAAGAGAAAATCGATGAAGTGAATCGATCATCAGTAAGGAGCTTATGATTCTGAACGCTAGAAGTATTAATATCACAAAATTGTGGTTGTATGCTTGTTTCTATTTTTGATCAGCAGGTGTAGATTACAAACCAATTCAGTTTCATAACTTTATATTTTGTTCTGTTATTCCACTCTGTTCGGTCCAATTTGATGTTCAGTGTGACGACATACATGTAGTGTCTCAGTGAGAGCGTTGCCTATCTAATTGATACATCTTTTTAAATGTACTTTCATAGCTGGGTACTGCAGACTAGACTGGCCCACAAAAATAAAAGTTCAAATTTTCCACGGGCCAACCCCTAGATAGGTGCCTTTCGGGGAGAAAACCATCATCCGAAAGTTTCAGCTCATTTAGTTCAAAGATGAGCTGGTGCTTTTAGTTTGAATTTTGTTTGGGGAATTTGGATACAATACATGAAAAAATTGCACTCCTACACTCTATCGATCATAAAAAAAAGTTTCCTTATTCTCAATTTGATTCAGATTATCAAATTTTGTAATTCAATTAATGTGTAACAATTTTGCTGAAGATTACATCATGAATCCAGTTAGTTTTATTAAGATATTCTCTTTTGAATGTATTTGAGCATTTTTTATATGAAAATTTCAACCAAATCTCCTATATGAACGTTAAACTAAAAGCGATAGGCCGTGTAACGTCAAAAAGAGCTGAAACATTCTGAGAATGGTTATCGCACCAAAAGACACGAGCCTGGATGTTGTCCTGTGAAAAATATGAACTTTTATTTTTAGTGATAATCTAGTTGATAGCTTATGTAAAGGGTGATACGGTCAAAATTTGGTCAATATCAACTTGACGTATTTCTTTCAATTTTGCATTTAAAAAACCTGAACACCCCTCATTTTGAAGGTGTGTGTGTGTAGAATGTTGCTCCTATTTTGATTTTGGAATTCACTCTTCAGTTGTCAAAATGCCGTCCAAGCAAGAAGAGCAGCGTATCAAAATTTTGCTCGCGCATCGCGAAAATCCGAGCTACTCGCACGCAAAGTTGGCAAAATCGCTAAAAGTTGCCAAATCAACCGTTACAAATGTAATTAAAGTATTTGGGGAACGTTTGTCGACAGCCAGGAAGTCTGGATCGGGGGAAAATCGAAAACCGGAAGCCGCTGAGACGACAAAGAGAGTTGCCGGTAGTTTCAAGCGAAACCCTAACCTCTCTCTCCGAGATGCCGCAAATAAGCTGGGTGTATCGTCTACAACCGTGCATCGAGCCAAAAAACGAGCCGGACTATCGACTTACAAGAAGGTAGTGACTCCAAATCGCGATGATAAACAAAATACGACGGCCAAAGCGCGATCCCGGAGGCTGTACACGACGATGCTGACGAAGTTTGACCAACAATCAATACGAAACTAACGATTTTAAATTGGCTCACCACTTTAGTAGCCTATTGGTCCCAAGCAAACGATTAACGTACCCTATTCTAGTTGAAATTCTATTACTACACTATGTTTGTTTTGATTCGCTATGAAAGTTTGACAGATAACATCAGGGGTGTGTGGATTCATGCAGAACATGGAGGGGTGAGTGAAATAGCTTGGGACTGCTTGGGACCGTTGTTCTGGTACTGAGTGAGCCAAAAATAATAATGATTTTCTTCAGGACCCAGTGGTCTAGAGTTACCTCTATGGTTTGACTGCGTGGTAATGGACGACGAAACCTACGTCAAAGCCGACTACAAGCAGCTTCCGGGACAGGAGTTTTATACGGCAAAAGGAAGGGGAAAGGTAGCAGATGTTTTCAAGCACATGAAACTGTCAAAGTTCGCAAAGAAATATCTGGTTTGGCAAGCCATCTGTACCTGTGGCTTGAAAAGCAGCATTTTCATAGCTTCCGGGACTGTCAACCAAGAAATTTACGTGAAAGAGTGTTTGAATAAACGTCTGCTGCCTTTCCTGAAGAAACACGGTTGTTCCGTACTGTTTTGGCCGGATTTGGCATCTTGTCATTACGGTAAAAAGGCCAAGGAGTGGTACGCCGCCAACAACGTGCAGGTGGTTCCCAAGGACAAGAACCCTCCCAACACGCCAGATCTCCGCCCAATTGAGAAATACTGGGCTATTGTCAAGCGGAACCTAAAGAAGACCAAAAAAACTGCTAAGGGCGAGCAGCAGTTCAAGGCAAACTGGCTTTCTGCGGCGAAGCAGGTGGACAAGGTGGCTGTACAAAATCTGATGGCAGGGGTCAAGCGTAAGGCCCGGCAATTCGGATTTGGAAAAGCGGAAGCCTAACTGAATATTTTTCCTGAATTTTATACTAATTGAACTTGAAAAAGAAATTTAATTTGATTTTTTAAATAAACGATTTCACCGATTTACACGCGTTTTCCCTTGACCAAATTTTGACCGTATCACCCTTTAGCTGCCTGTATTTTGTTGCAATATACGAGCAGAATTCACATAATTTATCAATATCTCCATAATACTAACTTGAATCGTGATGCTGTCTTAAGCAAAGTTGTTCCGTATATTTTAAACTATGTGAGCTGAAATTCTGAGCTTAATCGAGTTTGCTGAACCAGTGCTATGCACGAGAGAGTGTAGTTATGTTATTTCTCCATACATGTTGACCAATATCCCCATATAAATTTCAAATCAAAAGCACCAGCTCGTGTTACATCCGAATGAGCTGAAATTTTCAGAGATTGGTTTTCTCACCTAATGGCAGAAATCTAGGGGTTGGCCCGTTGAAAAAGTTGGTGGGGTTGTGTA